AAATTGTCATTGTTTGACCTTGTGACTTACTAATAGTCATAGCAAATGCTAAGCGGATTGGAAATTGCAAACGTTTGAATGGTATAGGCGAACCTGAAGGAATCATTGGGATCCGCGGTAGAAGTACGACTTCACCTTGAAATTTCCCACTTAAAATAGTTGCTTCCAAAATGTTACCCATGATTTTTTTATGACCGGTCGCGTGCATTACACAATTTCGAAGTATTCAAATTTCTAAGCAAAATTATAGGTGAACCAATCTTCAATCGCAAATTATGGGGTGGCATTCCAGGTAAATCCAGCGAATTTAAAAACTCGGCAGGATAGTTGACAACTTCATCAGTATCAACAACAGTGTCAATCGATTTGAATGTAATTTCACTACCAGGCAATGATTGTTGTACTCTAAAATTGATTGCGTCAACATCTAAATTTTTTGCGGCTAAAATAGCTCGCTCACGTAGCCATGCATGATTAGTATAATTATGCCGTAAATCTGGAAAGATACTTTTTATTAACTCCTCTTTGGTAGGCACAATGTTGCAAAAATTCTGTGGGAGTCGAATATATTGTGTATCTTCATACAATTGAATTTTACCATTGCCAATGTCTAACAGTTGTTCGGAGACTCTTGACGCTAAAGGATCATTTTGAAGTTGAAGACGCATATTAAGAGTAAGGCATAATTTACTGACACTTCGCCACAGATAAGATTCTTTCAAACATGCGTTTATTTCGTCCGCATATGTCGCACGTGGAATGACGGGTAATATTTGTCTGAAATCACCTGACAACAGCAGTAGAGCACCACCAAAAAGCCGAGTATTATATTTGATATCTTTTAGGGACCTGTCGAGTGCTTCATGCGAATGCTTGTGGGCCATTGTACATTCATCCCAGATAATAATTTTACATTTTCTCAAAACTTCAGCCATGCCTGAATGCTTCTTTATGTTACACATTGCTTCCGGATTGGTATGGATATTTAAAGGTAATCTAAGTGCTGAATGCGCTGTCCGTCCAACATCAAGTAAGGTTGCCGCAATGCCTGATGAAGCAATTGCCAATGCAATATGATTTTGAGATCAAATGTGCGCAAGTATTAGTGAGATGAGGAATGTTTTACCAGTGCCACCTGGTGCATCCAGAAAAAAAATTCACCTTGTTGTGCTGCAATTGACACGTTAATTTGATCATATATATTTCGTTGCTCAGCAGTAAGCAATCGTTCATTGTTAGCAACAAAAGTAGCCAGAGAAGTCATATCGAACTGGTGTTCACGTTGAACGTCGCTGTTGATGATATCTGCTGCTTGGCGGATTGGCGCTGGCATGCCAAAATTTATGAGCGGCATGTTCGAAATAAGAATACAAATAACCTCAATCATTATTGATGTCTCGTTATATATTTCTGCGGAGAATTCCATACTGAGATTTTGATTAGTAATTCTAATCCGATGCAAAATATCCTCACTCATAGAGTCTTTATATTTATTCCACAGAGCAGATGCTTCAAACGGAAAACACGTTGTTAATATTATTGAAAATAATTGACGAATTTGCTGTGGAGATGAGCTCAGTGCTGCATCTGCAAGTGTGAGGTCCCAATGGTTATCATCCTCCAATAAATGTAACTCACGACACGCATCAAAGAAAGTGCCGTATAAAGTACCGTTGACTTTTCGCAAGTATTGGAAGGATGTCGGTCCAGGAACGTTAACCAATAACAAACGCAGAAAAAAGCATTCGCGTTGCTTAGGATGAACTGTATATAATCGACCTAAAGTATTTGTCATAACTATGTCGGCAAATCCTGGGACTGGAGTGCTTCGTTTCCGTGGTTCCCAACTTTTTGATTGTTTATTCCATGTAAAAAATTTAGGAACATCAGTATACATTAATGTCTTTGTAAATTCACCAACAATATCTTGTCGATTACAAAGGTTGAAAAATTCAGTAAGAGTTGTTTTTGGAGCTGTTAAAGCTTGTTGTAGTGCATTCTGTTCTGTGATATAAACACGCTGTCCATTTTCAAGATGCACAGCCAAATGTACAACAGGAGGATCCCTTTCATGTATAGGAAATGTAAAAATTCGCCAAATAGCTTCATTACTACTTATGTATCGTCCCATTTGATAATGTGTTATTTCGTCATTCTTGTTTACATTTTGAACAGCAAATATAGCTTTATCACTGCCCTTATGAGCGTACTTACAAATGTACTTGATAGACTTCACCGAACTGCATAACTCAACGCCTATGTGTGCTTTATGGGTTTTGCACAGCAATGGTGAGTATGGAACCACCCAGCGATTATCGATGTCAACTCTTACACCGTTTGATAGACGCAATTCATATGATTGACCGCCATTGTCTACATCTCTACGACGGTAAGATGGATAACCATCGATATTGGTGATAGTTTCAGTTTGACATGGTTTAGGAAAACGTTTCGTACATTTTCCATTATCCATACATGGTGACGTCATGTTGAGAGAACCACATGGACCATGGATCATATTAGTAGTTACAATGTCAAACAATTCTTGATCAACATTCGGATTTGGAATTTCCGTTAAAATAATTTTGTCAATTTCTTCTGGGCGTACTTTGCCCACCAACCAAATCAAAATATGCGCATGAGGTAAACCTCGTTTTTGCCATTCAACAGAATAAAGCCAAAATCGTGTTTCACCAAATACCGAGTGATGTGTAATCAATTTCATCAGGGTTTTCGATCGATGTTTGACCTGATAACAGCAAATTTTTCATTTCATTCCAGTTTGGATTACACGTAAATGTGATAAAAAGATCTGGTCGGCCGTATGCGCGTACGTAAGTCATGGCGTCTTGAATATTTTCTTGCAGATGACGCGTACTACCAATGTATGATGATGGAAGAATATATGCGGTACCGATGTTGTTGATATCATTCGTTGCATCTACGTTACCGATTATGGCGTCACGCAAATGAATGTACTCTTCAGAACGAAGTTTCGCTTGATTAAATTTTATATAACGCAATCTCTCACTTTCGATTTTTACATACCTATCAACAATGTACTGATGAAATAGCTGTCTGCATCGGAGAATGTTATTATCTTCATTTTCACGAATCATCAACCGGTATGCGTAGAAGTTCATTGCACTAACTTTCTTGATTATTTCTTCACCTGTAAATAAAACTATTTATAAGATAAACAGAAATAATTGGTAAAAAAAATTATAAAATAATCTATAAGTTGTGCCTGTTGTTGGATTCCTTTGTTTAATATTTAAATGATATCCATCTTCTCCTTCCCAAAATATCAACGGATATTGCAGTGCGTCGTAAGAACGATGATTGTCTTCAATTATTTGTATTGTATTATCTCTGCGGAGTATGTGACTATCTCGACGTTCACATGGGCTACCAGCCATAACAACTGCAACTTCATTAACAGTTGGAACATTATATGTGCCTGCGTGCTCTCCATAGGGCACTTTGTCTGCTATAATAACAATGGCGTAGTTGTCGTTTTGCAGTCTGTTGGAAAGAGTCTTGAATTCTCGTTATTCCATCTGCTCTATATGGTTTTATACGCATCGTGTATGAGTTTGTTGCTCCTCGTCGCCCATAAAGTAAATTTGTAAGAATTTTGGATCGACATTAGGCATTGGAAGCAATGAACCAATTTGGTGGTACACTTGACCTTGAATCTAAAATGTAGATTCAAAATTACGACCATCCTCACTATGAACAATTTTTGTTGCTCCAAATGATGTCATTTGAAAGCAAGAATTGAATTTACGAATTTTCCGCAAAAACAATTTCGATTGAGATGCGGTTCCAGCTAATTATGTTTTCAAAGGTTCCGGTGGTGGATTTAACGGTGGAAGTGAAATTTTCCCAGATGCGCAACAAAAACCAGGCGATTCACCTTTGTACTTTAAAGCATGACAATATTGACACTCGTTGTCCATACTACCGATTAAGATTAATGCATGTGACGAATAGTCTATTTCAGGGTCATATTCAAATGCAAGACGATTAAGTGATGCTCGTATCAATGCTCGATTATCTTGCATTCGCCGTTGGTCACGTTCTCTGTTTTCGTTGGTCGCTCGTTGGCGTGTCTCTCGTTGTCTTAATGCATTTGCACGAAGACGTTGATTGCGTTGCTCTGAATTTTCATTTTCACGTGAAGATGCAACTTGATTTCTTGAATTCACATTATCCGTCAAGTGTTCTTCAACTGTTCTATTCAATCAATGATCATGGACCAATTGTGCGTTTCGAGTACGTCGACCAATATTTCTTGCTCTTCCACGAAGACGTGGCATTTCTTTGTAAAACAAATTACTGTAAAATAGTGCATAAAAAATATGAGTGATTTATTGAAAATGATATTTTATTTAAGTAACAGGACTGAAAAGATTTATTGTACCAAATTTTAGATAAAAAAATTTTAATTTATTTTTTTGCTTTTTTTTATTTAATATTTCGAATAAGAAATTTTAAATAAAAACAATTGAAAAAGTTTTATATGAAATCAATTAGCTTCACAAATAAATTTATAGGTTACAGTGGTTGTTAACCAACGCACGTATAAATTCGATCTAAAATTATAAAAAAATACTCACTTCAATTCCGCACTGAATTTACAAAATGTGTAGTTTTTTTCCTTTTTAAAAATGCACACTTCAAAATTCTACAAACACAATAATAACACGAAATTACAAATTCTATTCAACGACTCTTTTTCCTGCTTCCTATTAAATTATATGTGTATCAAAACAAACTGAAAAAATATTTACAGAAAAACAAAAGTTTTATGACTTTTATGCAAGTGAGAACCAAAACAATATGGAAATGAATGAGGGAAAACTGGATCCTACCACGTGATTTCCCGGCCAATAAAAATGTAGCGTTAAATGTTTAACGCTTTCTTGTTGGAAGTCGCATAAGAAGTATAACTTTCAAGAAGTAGAATTTTTCCCGCTCAATAAAAAAATTAATTAAAAAAACATTGTGAATCTAATTGTGAATCTAAACCATTCTCGAATCCTTCTGAAGTTACACAGAAAATTTCATTTAAATCGGTCCAGCCGTTTAGGAGGAGTTCTGTGACAAACACACGCACAGACGAAATATATATATATAAAGATATATGAAACTGTTTGTAGTACTCCGCATAAGCCTTTACAAAATGCAAAGTATGCTATCTGCCTAAAATTGTAAATTAATTTCCATTTTACTACCACTGGGGGAAATCCTCCTCGAAAGGTTTAAACGTTGGCAGGTAATAAGCTTTCTGCGAAATATTTTACAGAGCGGTAGACATTTAAAAACCAATGCTTTCAGAGTTTTGGCTGATTTTACCAACATTTTGAAATATTCGACACGGAGAAGTTAGATAGATGTGGCGTTGTATATGAACTTTTAAATCATTTGTATGTAGTAGTGTGAAAGATAAATTCATATGATTAAAAAGTAGTATATTAAAACTTAAACTTAGGTACCACTAGAACAAATTTTTACAAAAAAGCGTAGAATTTGGAAGCCCTGCATCACTCCATTACAACAACGACTTCACCTGACGCAGCTCAACAATTTTGCATCACGCGCTAATCTTTTACGATTTGATACACAAAGGCTTAAAAATTGGCCTTAAAACCTTATTACAATACGGTTTAATATACTCTTTAAAATATTAAACCTTAATATATTACCTTAATACATTTCACCTAAATATATTATCAGCGGCATACATTAAACCGCGTTAGGTATATTTAGTCCCTGCCCAAATTATTAGACACACTATAAGTAAATAATGTAAATTCTTAATTATCAAATGATACAATACAGCATTATTGTTTTTACAGGACTAAAACCGATTTGCAATTGCTTATGTTCGTGTATCAGTTGGTTAATATTGTAATGCAATACTTTAAAAATAAATACCAATTGGACGTATATACAAAATCTCCTGAATAAAAACCCATTACTTGTATGTTTAAATATGAAAGTATTGCATATAAATTCGTGCAAAACACGCAATTATTAAAAAACTACAGCGCGTCTAATCATTTGGTCTAATTATTATAATAAATGAAAATATATTATTTAATGTAATAATTATTCCATATTTATATAATATATCGTCTAAATTTATCCATTCATCAAATTTATATTATATATCGTCTAATTTAATCAATTGATACACGAACGTAAGCAAGCGAAAACCGGCTTCTGTTGCGTAAAAACAATAGAGCTGTACAGTATCTCCTGATAAATAAGATTTTACACAAAATCTTACAGTGCGTCTAATAATTTGGCCACGGATTGTATTAAGGCTCCTATTAAGCCATGATATATACCTTAATATATTAGCAACCGCCTTTGGTGGCCAGCTTGGTCGAATTTGAAAACAATCTTTAACAATATATAAACTTTAATANAGCAACCAAGCCTAACATACAACACAACTGAGGTTAATTGAATATTCTAATTTTTCAACCCGTTTTCCAATTCTAACTCTTAAATTAGTTTTAAACAATGCGTTAGCCAAATATTTCCTCGTTTAGCTGTTGCTCGTTACTTTTCTCTCGCGAAAGTACTTTGACTTCAGTTTTAACAATTTTCAAGTCATGCCTGCAATATTATCAATATTGCGGTAAAGTATAGTATTAATAGATTAAAATATTGCTCACAAACGGTGAGCTCCGACAAAAACAATATGCGTCACCCTATCACCGTTTATGTTTAAAAAAATTTCAGCCATTTTAGAAAAGGTCTGAAATAAATCTATTTACATGCTTCCGAAAGAAGTTTATATTTCCGTAATATTTATTTCTATAAATATTCAACAATATTTAAATTATTCTTTAACCCTTTCGCACCGGACGGGACATGTGCTGTCCCAGTCTGGTAAATTTTTGATATTACGGTTGGGACAACATATGTCCCAGTTACTGAAAAATATCTAGGACCGAAAATAACGCCCACTTTGGTCTCCAAACCGATTTTAAGGCCGTCTCATCGCTCTTTGTCCACAAATTTCTCACGTCAATCACAACTTTCTCCGGACAGCGAATAAATATTTTCGAGTGGTAGTTTATTAACTGTGGTTTTTGTTTAAATAAATTCAATTTATTAGGTTTTCTACCACCACTATTTCAAAACAATTCGAAGGCTTCTTCCTTTGATGAAGGGTCGAAATGCGTCAAAAGAGAATTTACCCTGATAATAAATTGAGACAGCTCACTTATATTAGTGAGTCTTCTGAAACTGAAAACACTGAAGAGGAGACCGACAATGAAGTCGTTTCACCCAATCACAATGATTTGTTTGATGATGAAGTTGAGCTCCAGAACTAGAGCCCACCGTCATTTTCATGGTCCTATCCAACTAACTTTACACCACGAATGCCACTAGTTACTTACAGCAAGGGTCAAGCAAATTTGTCTATTGGCAACGAAGCCACCGAAGTGTATTCTTACTTCAAGATGTTACCAAAACGCTTATTCATTTACATTGCCCAATGTACGAACGAAGTATTGGAATGGAAGGAAAGAACATTTGGAAATAGGAGCAAGGAAGTCAATAGGCAAAGGCCCTCTTCCTCCAAAACTATATCATCATCATCAACAACAACAACAACGAGACTTTTCAATGTTGGAAACCATTTCCCAATTGAAGGAAAAACACGCAGAAGATGTGCACGGTGCGTAAAAATGAATAAAG